TTATATTTATCTTTTTATATAAAATATATATATTATATATATATATATATATATATATATATATACACACATATGTATATTAGTAAAGATAAAGTACAGTTTTAGAGTTTTAATAGTCCTAAACTAACAATGCTTTGTACTGTTGAAGAAAGAAGATACGGAACTCTCCATGTTTGATAAGAATTTTTTTAACAAACTAAGATCACATGAAAGCAAGTTACTTTAAAACAATAACAGTAGAGGCCCAATTTCATGATAAGCAAAAAAAAATGTAGTTGAAAGAATGTGTCAGACATGGCCGTTATTACAGTGCTAGCCATCAATCTTCATAATTCAATAATAAAATCAGTCAGTAGTGGGAAGAATAAGCTATTTGTTGCTTCATAATAACTTTTTGTAATACATTTTTGTAGTTTAATTTAATTGTTGGAAAATCTCCCAATTTTCCTAATATCTCTAGCCAGTACCAAACAATTCAGTTATTGCCTTCCTAGATATGTAAGATTTAACCAAGTAACAAATTTCCAAGGTTTAAGTTCATACAACACGAGCTACAATGGCTGAAACTTATCTAATATGTGAATCATGAAAGCTGTTTGGTACTATAAACATCAAGCAAAGTGGCCATACATCAGTTCCCAACTTGTGTGATTTGACAATGAGGACATGGTATTTCAAGGATATGATTTTCTTAAACGGGAGCATTTTGACCTTTGTATTTGTATTTTTACCATGTTACCTTTATTAGTTTTTAGGTGGAACCAGAATGTTGAAAATTAAGCAGAAAATTTCGATTATGATATCAAGCAGATATAAAGAGCCCAAGCCCCAATAGAAGGAATGTGAAAGCTGGTCAGAGGTTACAAAATTGGGGAGAGTGTGAGTGGTGCGAAGGGGGAATATAAGGAAAGAAAGGGAGCATTATGAGAAAAAACACTGTAGAAGTTGTTGTGAGCAGTTTCTGCTTGGAAGCAAATGCATAGAGCATTCTTCTGAAGGAGCCGAGACTCTGGGCTGGTTAGAGTTTACCTCTACCAGAATATTGTTTTTGTAGTCCTTCATTCTAATTAACACAATTTTGGAATTTCTTTTATTTTCCAATATAAATCTAGGATCCTAATGGATCGCCATGTTGATTACGGTAACAAAAACAGGAGGTACCTAGCTCCTAAAAGATTAAATAGTATTTATAGTTATTTTCTTATAGTTATTTGCATTGACAACTATTTTATCTAATTATTATCTAAAACCATATAATAAAACATCGATTAAATTTCAACCGCAAATTTTTGGGGAGTATAATAGTAGTTGAAACACATATAGTTGCAAAAAGCATCACCATATGTTAAAGATATACCAGTCATGTTTTATTTTTCGTGTTTTGCCTGGGTATACCCACACACTTCGGGTACAAAACATATATCGTTCAGAATACTGAGGCTTCCCCTCCTTTTGATGTGTTTCTTTCTGCAATCTCAAACTGCTTAACTCAAGCTTACTTACAACTTAAATCACAAGCTATTGGTATACCAGTCACAATTGGATCTCAAACTACACTAAACCTATATTAATCAAGGTTTTAAATTATAATAACTGTGCATTGCAATTACCAAAATTACAAAAATATGCAGACTCTTAGCAAGTGGTTTGAGTCTAACTCAATCTTACAAAACTGGTTCAAAAGGTGAAGATTGTCGCCCATTTATACACTCTAATAAGGCCTTATCTTTAGTTGACATGGTACTTGCGTTTTTTCCAATATAGACATAGGCGCCTGATGCAGCTGCAATTGGGGTCAAATGGTTGCAGACACCTCCAAAACCATGATGTTGTGCCAAAATTGTGGTCATAACCACAATTTGAAACCTTGTCTAAAGCCATGGTGCAGATAAATGATACACATTCCAAAGCCTAGTTTCTTTGACACATTTTTTCAAGGCCATTCAAGGTTAACTTACACCCCACTACATGGGTTCCAATTGGTTGGCAATAAAGATGAGTCGTGAAACAAAATACACTATAAAATTAACATAAGGATATAATGATAAGATTGATTACTTACACTATCATTGCTGGAACTTGAATAAAGCCTTCTTCCATGGAGGGTGAGGCACAAAAGGGTATTGTTCTTCAGTTGAGGGAAGTGCCATGGCATGAAAAGGGTGCCAACCCTTCTTTGGGAGAAGCCAGGGAATCCCTCTAACGCAAACTTGAGACATACCCAGATAGCAGAAAACGAAAAAGAGCATAAATTTGGATGGAAATGGAAGAGAAGAGCGTGAAATGTGAGTGAAAAATTGAAGTGGCAGTACCTGGTGGGTGTGGAGATGAGAATGGAGTGTGGAATTGAAGTGTGGTTTAAGTTTAATAGAAAGATGCATTGATGGATGCTTCTGATGATAATACCAAATAGTGAGAGAAGGAATTGGCTGTGGAGGAGGAAAAATAGGATAATCCACCAGCTTTTTTTTACATTTGTTTATATTATTATTACATGTATCTTAACCTCTAAGTTTTTAGTTAAAATTTACGATAAATAAATTTTTTTATTTACGATTAACCATTTACATTGTGTTCTTAAGTTGTTTTAATTATCAATCATTTTAAAATATAATGAAATTTAATTTACTAATAGAGAAAAATAAATGAGTGGATTGAAAGTGATAAATGATTGTGAGTAATTTAAAATGATTGATTTTCTTTTTAACAAGAAAATTTACATAAAAAATTATTTTAACATATTTAAAGTTTGAATAGCCACCAATGTGCGCTAAAAAATTACACTAAAATTATTGGACTTGTCATATCTTACTTTTTGAAAATAAAATAATAATTTTTTAATAAGTAATTTATTTTATTTGCTTAATTTAGTTAAAATAAAGTTTTTTTTTTAAATAATAAAATGAAATAAGATAAGTTGATTTTTAAGAGTGTGTTAATGAATTAAATGTTGGGTTTGGAATTTGGAAGTCCAATCCAATAGTTTAACCATGTCAAGATTATAAAAGGGGTTCGGATTACGTTTTGGAATTTGGTTTTACTGTTTCTTAATGGTTGTGAGGAACTCTTGGTAGTGGAACAAGGAGAATGAAAACTAAATCAGTGAATCACGCTCTAAAGATTTAGAGATCACCTCTTGAAGTAAGAGAGAGTGAGATTGTTTCCATCTATGGCATATATGGGAATTGTGAGTACTGAGACAATCATTAAGTCTCTTTAGATTTATATGTGATTTCATGAAGGGATTATGAATTTTCTACATTTGTAATTTAATATTGTTCATGATTGAAACTTAATTGATTTGGTTCAAATTCTATCAATAGAGTTGAGGGTAAATGTGAGAACCCTTAAGGACCTTAAAATCAAATATGATGAATTGATAATGAAGTTAATTGAATAAATGAGTTAAGGATGATTTAAAACCCTTATAATAGGCTTGAATTTATATACGAGTGGAATTTGAACAATTAGAAGCCATATGAAACCATGGGAAGCCTCCAATTTGCAAAGTTCACCTTTATGAGCAATTGTAAACTTTGTCGAGCGTAGAATCATGGTATTGAGTGCAAAAACACTAGAAAACTTTTTGAATTCTTGTCATTGGGCACAAGAAATACCTCATTAGACGCAATGATGACAAAATTAGGGTTTAAGGTCTACATAAGAATTGCATTTATGGAAGTTAGCTAACCAATGACTTTAGAATTACTCAAAAAGGATGTCATGAACTTAATATATGATCAAACTAATGAGTTAAGGATATAATTTTTGTAATTTTAGGTACACTAGATGATAAAACCAACACTTGAGGTCAACATAAGAGTTGTAATTAATTTTCTTAACTTTTTAATGAGATAGAAATCAACTTGATAACATATGTATCAATGGTTCATACGGTTCATATGTGGTGTGAAAAAAAAAAAGAGTTGGAAGTGTGAATATTTGTTTCTTAATAAATGATTGAGAGAGCGTTAAGAGCTATATGAACCATTTATATTGTGCTTGAATTTCTATCTTATGAGTATTTGTACAATAGAAGTATATGTGGTGAAAACTGTGTGATTTGTGTGTTGTGTGATGAACTATTGTGTTATAAGTTATTATGTACAATTGAGAAGTGTGTACCATGAGTTATTTGTGCCTAAGAGATATATGTGTATTATGAGCTAAGTTAGGGAGAAATTCAAGTTTACACTTTGGTCTGTTAGGAGCAAAGCATATCAAGAAAATAAAAGAGAGTGAGTGAGAAAACGACACAGATTTAACATGGTTCGACACATAGTGTATGTACCTATGTTCACAACTACATTAAGGAGTGCTTTATAACTTTTTGGTGTGAATAAAAGCATTACAAGGTGTTAATTATATAGTAATATAGAAATAAAAACCCCTTAAGAATATTAGATGTGGGACTAAATCAAACTGCATAATACTAACAATTCTCCCACTTGGAGTTTGATATACATCAGTTCCTTGTAACCAATAAGCTCGTTTGCTTTTCACCTAGTGTAGCACCTTCATCATCAATTATCCTCGAAGGCCAGTTGAGGCAATAAAAAGCCTCAACTTATCAGTTGTGACAATCTTGGTTAACATATCAGCTAGATTCTCTAATCCTAAGATCTTCAACAAAGACAAATCACCCATCACTTATCAAGTCTTTGATAAAATGATACTTCAATTCAATGTGCTTGCATCTGGAATGAAGGACTGGATTTTTAGCAAGACATATAGTGTTTTGATTGTCACTAAACAATGGAGAGTCATATTGTTCCTTCCACAATTCTTTGAAAAAGTTCTTCAACCATATCATCTCTTTGGCAGCTTTTGAGATAGCCACATACTCGACTTCAATGGTTGAGAGAGCGACTATACCTTATAGTTTAGATTTCCAACTAATAGTAGTACTGCCTAAGATAAAAATGTAACTTATGGTGCTTTTTTTGCCATTCAAATCTCCTCCCAAATTTGTATTAGAAAAACCCTATAAAGTGACATTGTTTCTTTTAAAACACAGGCACATCCCCCAAAGTACCCTTCAAATATCTTAATATCCACTTCACGCCTTCCTAATGCTCTTTTCCAAGGTTGGATAAAAACCTACTCAACTCCCATTGCATGTGTGTTGAGATTTCCGTTAAAACTATTTTTGTTATCATTTTAAATCACTTTTGTTCTATCAACGGTCTCAAACACGGCAAGTATACCGGCCGTTCAAGTAGTAAAATTATCATATCCACAGGGATTAGTAGGTAAAATAAGTATTTATTAACTATTCGTGACTAAAGAATAATTCTAATTTTGTAGTTTGTCATGTGAAAGTTAATTGAAGAGTATAACTACTGGAATGTTAACTATAAAAATGTTTGGTTATGAGTGAAAAAGGGTAGAAATGGTATAATGGTTTTTGTGAGATTGTGGGGTCAGATTTCACCAAACGTCAGACTAATGAATTCTTAATCTCTTGTTACATACATTACTTAGTTAACCCATAAGCTTACTCAAACCTAATCCCTTAGAGCAAGAGCCTAGGTGCGGATATTGAATATCAATTCCTTGAATACCCAATATCTACACCCGCATTACGGGCTAGGGTTTAAGACTACTAATGGGCCAAGCTCCATTCCTAGATATATTTCCCACTAGGCATTTGTTTCAGAGCTAGTTTCAAAGGTTATTTTCCAATACCCAATGGAACCTATATCATGCAAGCAGAATCAATCCAAAGCAAGCATTAAGAATAGAAACATACACAACAATAAATGAACAACATATATATATATATATATATCATTGAAAACGTAAGGATTACAATAGAATTCGTTGGTTACATCTAACCCCACAAAACAATGGGTAGAACCACTCAAAACAATGAGGGTAAATACAAAATAGAGATGAAGGGAGAAATGAAGAACCGAAGGAAAGACCCACACACGAACGGCTCCAAGCTCCGGGAATCCCTTCCACAGCTCCCAAAACGCGCCCAATGCCCCCAAAAATGTCTTCAAATACGAGCTTGGGGAGTCAGATTAGGGTTACGAGCCCGGCGCATAAGTCTTTGCGCCCGGCGCAGGGCCTTCCAGAGAAGTTGAGCACTATCTGCCTCAGGACACGCCCGGTGCAATTTTCTTTTACGTCCGACGCAATGTCTTCCAGAGAGTTTGAAGTACTCTCTGTCGCGATCACGCCCGGTGCAGGTAGTCTTGCACCCAGTGCACATATAACTTGCAAAGATGAGACACTCTTTTCTTATCAAGCCTGGCGCGGGTCATCTTGCGCCTGGCGCAGTCACTCTTCTCTGCTCGTTAGCTCCTTAGGTTTCCAATCCTAAGGTCTTCAATCCTCAAATCTCTAGCTCAATACCTGCACAAAAAATGAGGTGTATTAGGGTATTGTTAGCTAAATTATGGGTTAGCTATATCTGCACACAAAATGAATCAAAAAGAGAACAATTCTATTGCAATGGTTCAAAGAATGAGTGAAATTGTTCCTTAAGTCTTGTCCAAAAAGAAGTATAATTGAGACTTAACAATGTGTTATGTCAGGTCTGGTACATAACATAGTATACATCAAGCTCCCTATTGCAAACGCATATGGTACTTTAGACATATCACTTTCTTCTTCATCTATTTGAGAAGATTTCCTTTTTGAGAACTTTAGGTGAGTTCCCAAAAGAGTATTCCTAGTCTTGGCATCTCCAACATTAAACCTATCAAGCAATTTTTTATATATATTTTTCTTGGGACAACTTTAGAGTACCTTCTAATTTGTTCCTGAAGATTCTCATACCAAGAATTTGTTTAGTTGGACTAAGATCCTTCATCTCAAAGCTTTTTGCCAACTGTTGTTTCAACCTATTAATTTTTGTCATACTCGACCCTACATGTCAGCAATGTATAAAGTAAGGATAATATAATTATCAATGTACTTTTTAATATAACAATAGTGATCTCCTTCACATCTATGAAATCTTGAGTTTCTCATAAACTCATTAAACTTTTTGTACCATTGTCTCGGCTCTTGTTTTAAGCCATATAAGCTTTTATGAAGCTTGCATACAAGATTCTCCTTACCTTGTACTTCAAAACATCCCGGCTATGTCATAAAGATGTCTTCTTCCAAATCACCATGTAGGAATGCAATTTTAACACTTAACTGTTCCAAATGAAGATTCTTTGCAGCTAGAATACTTAAGATAACTCTTGTGGTAGTTATCTTGACAATAGGAGAAAAAATCTTTGTGAAGTTAATTCCCTATTTTTGCTGAAATCCTTTCACTACGAGTCTCGCCTTGTATCTTCTACTACCATTAGGTTCTTCCTTTGACCTGTAGACCCACTTGTTCTACAAAGCTTTCTTCCCTTCTAGTAGTTTAGTCAAAGACCAGGTTCCAATCTTCTGAAGGGATTTCATCTCATCTTTCATTGCTAGCTCCCACTTAAT